ATGTCCCACTGAGTTCAAGATAAAGAGGGTTTGACTGTACATGTCTAATCAAATGAACTTATTAATTTGTTCTTATTATATATTTTATAAATATATATATATATATTGATTGTTTGTGTTCAGATCCAAATGCCCAAATTTTGAAAAATTGTCAATAATTTACCAATGCCAGTCAAAAAACCTGTTCAGTATTTCCCCTCAAAAAACCAATTCAAAGTTTAAAAGAATCAACAAGTTCACAGTCTATACAGTGTGTTAACGATCTGTACAACATGTATTGCAAGGGAACTACTGGAGACAGAATCCACCAGGCAAACATTTATTTTGATGCAACTCAGTGTTTGATGCCAGATAACATGCAGGAAAAACAACAGCTGTTAACTTCAACATGGTGAAAATGTTTATCTAATATCTTAATCAATATACTTCTGGCATCTTTTTAACCTAATCAACATCATTTCCTTTCTTGAGTCTGGTTATAAATCAGTGCATTAGCCTTTTTTCCTTGAAATTTAAAAAAAAAAAATCTTTAAAGGATACTTTGAAACATTTGAGAAAGTAGCAGTTTGATGGTATGAAGAGATTGTTTGAATAGCTTGATTGGGATAGGGAAGCATGATAAATGGAATGGAATGATGAGAAAGTTGCCAGATATAAAGATAATGCCTGTGATAGAGAGATAAAAGGGAGGGATGAAGGGAGATAATAAGGGAATTCCTGGAGTGTGGGAGACAGTCAGTTGTGTACCAAGGGTGATAATGAAGTCAAAGGGAGATAATCCAGTTAGAATTATCTTTATCCAAAAAATTAAAAAAAGGTGTGTAAAGTTAAAAGAGCTTTTTTATAAGATGAGAAATGGTGAGGACTTTTTTAAATGTTGAAAAGACAAAAAACAAGATAATTTTTTAATCACTATCTTGAATCAAAATCAATCTAAAACAAATATGAGTAATGATCAATGCAATCTTATGAAACTTAACTGATTTCTGCTATCTCTCTCTCTCTCCAATCTTTTATTTTGATTTTTTTTAATTTACTAATTAAACCTGAACTTAAATCTCATTTAATTGTACTTTGTTTGATTTTAAAACCTTTTTTCAAATTGTCAGCTCACTTCCAACTTTCCCTTTCATCTATCAGCTGATTTTTATAAGAAACAGATATACCGTACACCAGAGAAACTCCTTTATTTATTATTTTATCCTGGTACAAATAGGACAAGAGTGACCTCAGTTATCATTGCTTTGACTCTGAATCCAATCAATTCTTTGATATTCAGTAAATCATAAAAATGGAAGACCCCTGGTCTCAATAACATCACTTGACCAGCAAACAAATGCCAGAACCTATCATCCACATCAAAAAACAGTGCCCCTGACCAGAACTATTTATCTATACCTACATATCAACAAATATGATAAACAATAATAAACAGTTTTTCATACTGACACAAGCTGCAGGGGTCATAATGATTCACAGAACTGCTTTATCAGTCTGCCCTAAACTCAGTGTCTGAAATCATACAGTTACACATAGGCTGAAATATCATACAGTTTTGAAGGGGGAATGCTAAAATGTTCAACTTATAAACCCAAATTGTATGGATTTTGGGAGTCATAAGTGTATTGTTTACCAGTCCCTATACTAAATTTTTCCAAACAGATGCTGTTTTAAGCCAATTCATGATTCCCCAAAATAAGTTTCCTTTTCCAAACTTCTTTTCACTCAGTATCCCACTAAACTGTATAATCATTGGATCACATTTGCAAATAATGCTGTTTTACATTGTTTATTCCAAAAATACGAAACGTATAAACAATAGAAAGCTTCTGTAATCCTATCAGGCTCATTGAAAAATCACCAACAGCAGTTGACTTTACAATCATTTTGGATTTTCCTATGTTAGGGATTAGTGATGTCAATTCAATATCTGATGTGTAGAACAAAAAGAACAATGATTCATCTGATAAGTAGACAGGCTCTAGCCATTATTCCTCAATTACTTTTGTCAACAAATGTGTTTTAGATCTAGATAAATGTCAAATGAGTCTTTGACAGCTTTTGTTAAAGCTAATGCAATCACTTTTGATCACAATTCTGCAGGTTTTATCATTATTTTTTTTTAAGTTTCCTGTAGATTTTAAATTTTGCACCTCTTGACATTAGATTTTCTGAAATTAAAGAAAGCTTTTATTTTCAGATAAATTGTAGATATTTAAAATCACAGATTAAGGAAAATGTCAGTTTAAAACTTCTTTTGATTTGTAATTCATTCATCTCTATTTTGCAAAATTTCAACAAAAAAACTTCTACACATTTTTTTAAATTAATTTTTAATACAGTATTTAAATTTAATTTACTTCCAAGGTCATAAAATACTTCTTGTCTTTTTTTTCTTTTATTTTGCAATGATTTCATAAAACTAAAGCTTAGACAATTGCTACCTGTACTTAAAATTAAACCTCAAAAACAGCCATAAAAGTCATCATATATTATTTCTGACAAGGTTTTTCTTGACATGTTTCAAAAACATGTCTGTGACCCGCAAGACACAATCTAGGTAGCACACCCATTATAGTTTACAGACCTTCTACCACCGGATTAGATCAACTCCGAGAAAATTAATCTTGTGAGGAAAAGCTCCATCAACAGACAGGGAAAATAAAACAATTAACAACTTTTTAATTACCTTTGTAATTAATGTCATGTTCTTCATTTTTACATCTTTACTACAATGGGAGATTTTTTTTTAACTGTCCGCAATAAGTGCATGAAAATTAATTTCAGATATGTCTATCAAGAAAAGATTGTGTAATAGTGCTTTTACTGGCAATAACACAGAATTGCTTTCAATTTGTTTCCTAGATCTTAAAATGATTTCAAAGAAAATTTATTCATTTTTAGCTATTCCTTTTGTTTATCTCTGAATTTTACTTCCTGGTATAAAATGTCATTGAATGTAAATTGCAGGATAGACGTAGATCAAGTCATCATAGTGAACTGTATGAAAGTATGAATGTAACTACCACTAATTACATTACAATTCAAAAAGATAAATATGGAGAAGGACACAAGAGAAATTTTTCAATAACACTTTATCAAACAATTACTTTATTAAAGGAAATTTTTCAGAAAGAGAGAGATCAAGTACAAATTCAGCAAATTAAGAAACAAAGCACTTGTTGAAAACAATTTCAGAAAAAATGCCAAATGTAATACATTTACAGTACTTTATTAAAGGAAATCTTTCAGAAAGAGAGAGAGATCTGACAAGTAAGAAACAAAGCACTGCAATGTCAGAAAAAACATGATTGTACTCTACCTAAAGAATACTCTACCTAAAGAAGACACAATATTCAACGAATTTATTTTCCAATGATGGAATAACTTAAATGAAATGGGAATGATAACTTTCATGCAACATAGCATGGGGGGTGGGGGGGTGATTTCTAAATCTTCACACCTATGATGCTAAGAATAAATCTTCATACCTATGACTTTTCAGACAAAACTAACACAAATAAGCTTTTTCCAGGGGGGGGAGGGTCCAACTCACTTTAGCTTAGTTTAGTATATACTTACAGGTCCATACCCTCCCTCCCATCCCCCCTCTAGTCCATGTATGTTTGAAACCAAATACAAGAAAAAATCAGTGAAAAATAAATCAGAAACTCTGCAAAATTTTTACTTTAAACCAATAATATGCATGCTAGTATCACCTCTGCAATACTCTGTATGTTTTGGTATAACTGTTTTTTTATATGACAAATTGTGATGCCCTGACCATCAAAAACATGAAATACTTGTAGCACTGTCAACATAAAATTAGCACAGGAATGTGTGAAACCAGAAATGCTGACTATTGTAAAGATTTTTTTGGGGGACAACAGAACTTCAAAAATTCCCACATGTGAATTCGGCAAGTCTATATCCAATCATTCTAAATCCAAAAACACATCATATGCTCAACAGATACCGCTTGAGCAGTGATCCAACTTCAGTCAATAGAATTTAATGTATTAGCAACATGCATAAGTATCAGTAGATTTTTTTAAAAATCCACTAGTTTAGGCCATAATAAATAAATTGCTAGATTCTCATCGGAATTTTTTTAAAAATCGAGGCGGGCGGGCGGCTTTTATTTTATATTTTTTATTTTTTCAATTTTCCTGATTTTTTATTGACCTGGTCATTATAGCCACGGTGTAATTTTATCAACTCACAATACCCGCCAATAAAAGTCATAGTTAAGGTTCCATTATCTCTTACTTCACATCATCACCAATCTTTTCAACCGATGACCCTTGTAAAAAATATATACGCGTGTATAACAGCAATTACCATCTTTTCAGCTGTCAAAATCAGTGACCTCGACATTGTTCAAGGCGGGATGCCTTAAAGTGTCCAAAATATGCCTTCAAAACAAAATTTAAAAAGTAAGTAGTTAACATGATGTGGTAGATGCATCAACTTACAAGATTTGATGATTCTAGTCCTTATAGTAAGAAAAATATACACATTTTTATTAATTGTAAATTTAGACTTTGAAGAAAAACAGAAATAAAAAAAATCCTTGTATGTAAGTTTGGTGCGGGTGGTTCTGGAGAAGATTTTTTAGCAACCAGTAAATCGGGGCGGTAGCGGGGATACCCTGTGACAAATTTGGTACTGATTGGCCAAGGGGTTAGGAATAAAAATTTTTATTATGGCCTTAGGAACAAGTCTACTTATTCATCATTAATATTGAAAACTCCCAGAAGAACCCTATTTTCTACAAAATGTTTCATCTTTATCTAGGAATAAATGCACTAAAAAAAAAAACAGATTTCACAAGGGAGATAAATCTTAACCCTTTTAATTTGGATATGACAGCGTTACATTCTCCTTACGTCTCTCTGGTACATGTATGTATATTTTGTATTATAGATTTTTTTGGCTTCTTTTGTCTCTAATAAGTATCCTACAGGTTCCTAGATTAGTATAGAGTTAGTGAGACTCACGTGAACTTTTCTGTGGGTATCTCTATCTGTTGCTCCATGTTTTTCCTCCACACGTCCAGTTCATCCAGTTCCATCTTGGACTCCAGGGCCGCCAAGGCCTGCTCAGGTTTTATCTGAAAGTGAATTCAAAATTACAGAAGATCTCACAGGTAGCTAGAGATTGGTTACACTGTACAGGATAAAGAAATTCTGTGTTAATTTTCCATGTATTCATATGACACTCTTAACCAAAATATTTACTGGCCTAAATAAGAAACGGTAAAAGATATTGCAGTAATAACAGTGAACATTTACAGATGTAATCATAAAATCTTATTTCAAAAAGTATATTCTCATCATAAATGCATTTATTCATTTCTTATAACAAAGAAAACTCACATGCAATCATGCTGACATTCTATTTTCTAATGTTAAAATGATATGGCATAACATAACTTCATTAATAGTCAATTAAAGAAGCTCTCCTTCCTAATTAGGATTTGTGTATATACCTGAAAGAAGTAGTTAGCAGCCAGGCCTGGGCCAGCAATTCTCCTGGCTACAAAACTATCACTGATTGGGACACGCCCCCTGCTTCTGATGACGAGGAAGTACATCATGGTGTCCCAGATACCTCGGCCAGACCTCCGGGCCAGGGCAACTACAATAAGTCTCATTTAATAAGTACAGGCACAACAAAAGAATTCAAATTATTGAAACAAAAAATAATGATATCTTTATTGATAAAAAAAACATTTTCCTGAAACTTAAAATACTTCAAAATTTAATCAAGTTTTTTTTTGAGCCATTAAGTCATACACATGACATGACAAAATTTTAATAAAAACACTTCTGAACCTTGTCACCATGACTTTTAAAATGCAATTGATCCAGGGTTGAAACTTGAAACACTCACTCAAGCCATAGACAACCCCTGTGCCAACAATGCAGCTCTTCAAATTCTAGAAGGCTTTCAGAATTACACTTTGAATTCATGTAATCTTGAGATTGTTCAAATGAAAATGCTTTTGTCAGGGTCAACAAAATTTTCAAAACAAACTTGTACACTTTCTCCATTGAAAAATTACAGGTATGCCCCCCCCCCCCCCCCTTAAAAAGGAGGAAGGACAGATAAACAGACATAGCAATTCCTAAATATTCACACCCTCAAACTTAGTTGTGGGGTAGGTTGGGGGGATTTATAATGAAACCTTTCACAAATTCCATAACTTACAGACAGCTACCCCTAAGGCAGCCAGTGGGCAGAATAAGGAGCCAGTCAGAAGAGCAGCTACTGGTTGTATACAACCCATAATCAGGATCCTGTAGATAATAGCCTCAAACAGTATGGAGAACTTGTTATTGTCAGCTGAAAGAGAAATGTCAGATCACTGTGTTATCAAATTAACTTTACATAAGTCAGTAACTGTGCTGTTTATCATTCACATACTTTATACTGTTTTTTTTTTTCTAAATAAAACCCAAAAGTTGATTATGTCTTTATTTCATAGGATGCTTAACTTGCAAAATAAAATTATTCATTTTTATTTTTATTTCCAGATATACTCTTAATTAACAGTCCACAAATAAATTCATGTTCTTGTCATTTTCTGATATTAAATACTCACATAAAATAATCTAGAGTACTGTTCACATTCATTTCTCAAAGAAGAAGTATAGAAAAAATTGTGACTTTTATTATAATTTTGAATGAAGTGACCATGTAATGAGGAACAAAATCAAAGAGTTTTTACTTACCCGGACTATCAAAGTCAAAAATCAGTATTCCTATTAAATGATAGAGTAATGTAGCCACTGGTACCCTATAAGGAAACAAAATATTCAAATGACATATTTTCAAAGCTTATAAAATTAATATGATGCACCAAAGCACTGATTTAATCAAATACTATTTTCAACAATGACTACTGACTATTTTGATGAGAGGTGGCACTGTTCTGAATTTCATAAAAAAAATGGTTATTGCTTTTTTTTTCTACTAACATCCTATATGTTGCGTTATTAACATATTTCAACATTCTGAAAGGCTTAAACTGATCTCCACATGAAGGTTACAAGTTTTCATAAAGATTCATTGGACCTCCGGAGAATAAACCAAAAAATATAATACTTCTTCCAGCTTCCTAATTAGACCTACCAAGTGCTGCATGACTTATAAAAATAAAGGAACTAACCACGCAGGGACAAGAATGGCAGCAATAATAGAGAGTGCAGATCCCACAATGCACAGTAGTGGATAGGTCAAGGTCAATCCCACAGTTCCCACTACCCCCTTGAAAAAATAGTTCCAGATCCTGTTGAGATGTCGGGTGAAACTCTTCCCAAGGAATCCTGTCAAATAAATCAAATCATAAAATTGATCAAAATGATTCATTATAAGATCAAAAATAAATTAATTGCTTTAAAAAGATTTATGTTTTTCAAATTTATCATTTATGAACAAATTACAAAACATAAGGATAAAAACCTCTGTCTGGTGTTTGTTCAAATTTTCTTCGAGATTCAAATACATGTCGCCATAGTGCCCTGAGCCTTGACACAAAGGTCTGAGTTTCAGAACTTTCTTTGGGAAACAGTGTTCCCTGTTGAAAAAGAGTAGAAATATTAACTTAAGTTTGTCTTTCATTGCTAACATATACATATATCATACAATGGGAAAATTTGGTACTAACTCTGACTTATTTATGCAAATACTTTCTCCAATACTTGCACCACAATTATAAAATTTAGCATGTTTCACTGAGATACCCAACACAGAGTAGCTGCTATAAAATGAGAAAAAATGTTTGTCTTTCTCCAATAGTTCATGGCAAAAATAACCTCTAAATTAATATTTCCTCACGAATATTACTTTATTAATCTTTGTAAAGCTCACCCTTTCCTGGGATTAATTTCTTAGACATACTTACATTAACTTGACTCAATTCCAAGTCAGGAATAAAAGGTTTAAGCCAGAACAAAGCCCTTATACTGATAGGACTGCACCATGGAACCACTACCTGCAGATACCAACAAATTTGGACATTTTATATCATTTTCTTACCAGTCTATCAAAAGTCCAATTCAGCAACATTACCAAACATTGGTCATGCTTGCCATCCTGCTTTGCTACAAACTACTTTCTTGTAAATGTAACTCAAATATCTGTACATTTTTTAGGTTTAGATTATATACCAGGTACATGTACCCGGTATTTAATATTCTGAACTTGTCATTGTACAACTTTTGTGGACAAAACTTATTCTCTTAAAAATAATAGATATGAAAACACCAGTGTTTAAAAGCTTTAAAAACAATATGCAGTATACATCCAATATAAAAATTCTTGATAGTGCAAATTGGCAATGTTGCCAAATTTTAACATTTACATTAGAAATCACAGATTTAAATGTCAATGAAAATACCAAGCACAGTCTGTTCATATTTCGTATTCAATCAGAATTTCAGCATTTTAGAGAAAATCCTTCCCTACCCCAAGAAAGAAAAGTGAATTCCAGGACCAGGACCATGTTCTCTGTAGGTAATTCCACCATCTCCAAAACGGATAGCGTGATGATGTCATCCTACCATGGTAACGATCCAAGCTGTAGTATACATTCTATGAAAGAAAACAAAAAAATGTTTATCTGAAATACATAAATTCATGGGAATATACATGTATTATCATATCAGCAAACAATTAAGCAACAAAAATACATATTCTTTATAAAATTTCTATATAAAAACAAGCTAAAAGCAGTATCAATGAAACACAGGAGTCTTCTATATACATGTACAATACTCTTACTACTAGATAACAACATACCGCTGGAGAAATCTTTTGGGGTGGTTTGGTTTTGACGATTTTTGTGGGAATCACAGTGCGTTTTGTTCCTTCCATTTTGGAGACAATGTAATTTTTTGGCAGCCAGATCCGGGTAGAGAATGTATATCTCCTGTTGGGAATCCGTACTTTACTGAGCTCCTTTACTAACACAGCTTCTCTCTAAATGTGTAAATGTAAAACTGTAGTTAATAAACCTGATATTGATCAAGTATATGCTAAACCTAACAAAGCTTAAATTTCTTATATGATTTAACTGAGTGAAACATAAAAAAAATAATTATCACAGACAAATATTGAGGTTATTTTACCAGAGAAATAATTCTGCATTACTAAAAACATATATGGTATACTTGCCAATCAGTACAATTTGTAGTCTTGCAACTTTTGAGAAACAACTTTTATACTGGTAGTAATTGAACAGTAGCAAACATACATAATTCTATCTTATTCAAAGATATGTTGACATACTTTGGATGCTGATGGTCTTTGAGAATAAGTGAAGATGTTTACACGTTTAAGCATCACACAAAAAACATACATGTAATTCATAATGGGGAATAGACGAAGGAGGTGATATCAAGTCACCTGATTCACTCAGCTAACCTAAACATACATATACCTTTTGAACTTTTAAACCAGACAAAATCACCTCTTCCACAGTACTGAAATATTTTTGTACTATGTGTGTACAAAAAGATCAAATTACACATTATGATCCTGTGTTACCTCTTTGATAAAGTTGAGATCTCTTTTCAAGAAGTAAGCTGTCTGGTTCAGTTCTTGTTGTTCACAGAGATTAATGGCTTCCTCATGAGCCGACCATAGATTCTGTAGAATGAAGTCATCCTGGAAAGGAAACATTCATAAATTATGTACAGGTGTACGTCTTCACCAGAGAAATGCACGTTTGCTGCCTCAAACATGCATAAATTTTAGTGCAATTACCCTCTTAAACTGATTGGCCCAATCATAAAATACGGCACTACAGTTTTAACAACAACATTTATTGGTTTTAATCGACTATTAGTGAGTACATAAATTAGTCGAAAAGATGTAGCGTAATAGGTACTGAAATTAGATTGAAGCTAAAACCACTGCAAATTTACCACATGCTAAACTATGTCTTCACCAATATCTGACTGCAAAATATTTAAGAGTTTATAAAACAATCTGCGTTTGTTTGTGATAGTTGTAAGTAACTGGCACGGAGAGGATATTAAGTAAGAAGGTTAAGTTGTAAGTAAGAATTTTTTATACCTTGATAAATGGACACAAAGGATTTTTGTGGAAATTTATTTAAACCAAAGTGTGCAAACTTACTTCAAATCTTGTGATCTGTTCATTGACCCAGGCCTGTATCCTAGATTTGACTGGGTAAGCTTGCTTAAGATGATCTATCAACTGAAATGTGGAAAACACACATTTTAAAGATTCTAAACAATTATGATAGCAAATAAACACCAGTCCTAACTTAACACACATTGTACTTTACAAGCTATTTCAAAATTTTGCTAAGCAGATATTTTGCATTTAGAAACTTCATATATTTGAAAACTAAATTCATTCACCTGTTGTTTGTGAGTTGCTAGTTTGTCTTTAACATTGCTGACAGCTTTCTTCATAGCAATAACTGATTTAGCCTGAGATACTAATAGAAGACCTGTAAATAATCAACAAAAATATTAATAGGCTTGGATATGACCTGAGTGCAAGTTTAATCACATCTCGTGTGAACAAAGTCTCACACAAATCCACATAATGGCCAAGTCTACTACATGGACAAGATCTGAATAAACTAATTTCTATACCTAACGTTTACAATATTAAATTCTGAAATTTAGAATGGCAGTTATACTGACCTACTTTTAGGTCAAAAACTTCATTTTCTGAAATGACACAATTTGTTTCTTTGCTTATTCAACTAACCTATTCCAGGTTGCAGATTTTCTAGTTCTGTATTGCTGGCTATTGCACTAAATACCCTGTCAAGGTACTCTTTCATTATTGCTGTGTTGACTTTCTATGTATAATAAACAGATTGAAATAATGTATGAAGATAAAACACATTTTTCTATATTACAGGTTAAAGAAATTACTTGTCCAAAACATCTTATAGTATGTATTAAAACAAACCTCTGAAATTTCTTCATCTGACAGTCCTTGTCCTGTAAAAGAAAAAAATCAACTTTAAAAATCTTCAGAACTTTAAAAAATGTAAGTGATATATACCTATATTGAATCCTTTCTCATTTGGATTTAATACAATTAAATAAATGAACCTTGTTAAAATTCAATTCAAAATCTACAACCATTTCTATGAACAAGAATTATGACCCTGAACCGACCTTGAAGGTCCCTCATCATTTTCTGTCTGTATTGTACGTGCCACCCCCTGGCCCCTCTCTCCAGAATACTGCTCAGAATGGGAAGACAGTTGTTTATCAGATCTGAAAAATATCATAATTATTCAAATTAACTACTAAACCTATACATGTATATTAAGTTTTAAAAATATACACAAGGAGTAAATATCTGCTTTTATCACTATATTTAAATACGAAAACATTTATGCTCCTATCTATATTTATTCCATTTTTAACTATGGTACAGCGAAGCAAGTTTTAAACTGTTTAAAAATGGCAATCTTCAAATGCAAATTCTTAACATCATATATTCAAAAGGAAAAATAACCCTTATTATGTACCTTTATTGAATAATCTCAGGTCGATTTCTTGTCCCCCTGGAGTCTGGTAAATATAGGGGACAGGAGGGGGTCTCAGAGCTGCTGTCTGTTACAAAAAAAAAAGTCATGACAATTCAGAGCTGAAAACATTTAATTCCTCTGTAGTTTTTTTGTAATAAAAATCTCATCTCACAGCAAATATAGTTACATGTAATGAACAAACCTGATAATTTTTGGACTGGAGCTTTTCACACATCATTTTAACATATGCACAAAATTTATCCAATGTGTCCTTATACTTTGGCTACAATGAAAGAGCATACAATAAGATCATTTGAATAAATTATATATAATTCCTTGTCCAAAAGCTTAATGATGAAAATCTAAGCAACATAGAATGATTTTGTTTTTGTTTCAGACCTTGATATCCAGTTCTGCTACAAGGTGTTTCATGTGTTCATCTTGTATTTTTGACTCTAAATCTCCTGGACTGGTAGAGGGCATTCCAATCAAGATATCTGAAATTTATACATGTACATAATTTTGATTCAAAAATCTATTTTCAAGTGCCGTCTTATATATTCAAGCAATTTTAATTTACATCTCTTTTAAATGTGGAAAATACAAAAAGTAGATAATAAATATCACTGTGATGATGACTGTCTTGATATCAAATTTCAAAAAATATAGATTTATATCCTAATGATGTGTTGATTTATTTTTTTTTTTTTTTTTAGTTCATAACTTTAAATACAGACCCTATTGAAAAACCTCTACTTGGGAGTTTTTTTTTTTTTTTTAATTCATAACTTTAAATACAGACCCTATTGAAAAACCTCTACTTGGGAGTTTCCACTTGGGAGAATCATACATTTATCCCTAACATTTTATTTTTTCGATTTTTCTTTAATGTTGAGAAACATTATTTCAAATACATGTATACTGTTTCTATAAAAGCTCTGAATTTAAGTTTAGAAAAAACTTTCCTTTCCATGGCTAATTTGGGTTAGAAAAAGTCCAAAACCCTGTAAGGATCAAGAAGAAAATTACCCAAAATTAGCCAGAGGCCTCTGCCCATCTCCCTGGCTGATTTCGTCAGACTGAAGAAATGAGACCTAAATCTGTTCCTGGCTGTTATTATCATCAGACGGAGGGACACGGCTGCATCCTACAACACAAAGTGACAAACTCATCTTAACATTACCTAAACTTTATAATCTATGATCTATAATTTTAATGTTAAGTCCCAGTATCAAAAAGCAGTTTGAGAGTTTTCAAACCACAGAAATTATCTGAAAGTTGCATGCTTCCAGGACCGAAGAGAAAATAAGTTTATAATTACTGGCAGCTAGGATAACTTACATCAAGAAGTGAACTGTGAGCTCTGTTTGTTCCCTTTTGAAGTAATTGTGTTAATCTCCATTTGTGAACTTGTCCAGGAAAATTTAAACTGTCAACATCAAACTCTCTGAAATAGAAAGACGGTGTGTAAAACTTTCATATGCATACATGATAGTAAAGTAAATAGATTAAACACATCAAACATGAAATTTAAAACTGGATATAAAAGAATGCTCATCATTATCATAAATGACACTTTGAAATAAATTGAAAAAATTGCCATATTTTTTAAGCATGGTTCTTTTTACCCATTATCCCAGATGCTATCCAGCTGTTTTTTAGACAGTTTTTTCAGTCCCCCATCAGGAGTCATTCCTACTTCCTCTAATTCATCAAACACAGGAGCTTTAAACAGGTCCTTAAAAATCTGGGACTGCCTCTCCTGAATGAATATAAAATAGTTAAATTATAAACAACAGTGTTACACCATCTTTGTAGGTAATATACACATATTGTCTAAAACAAACAGTTTACAGCAAAAAATAAATTTACTTTTCCTTTGTCGATATCTTTAACAAAGTTTCAGTGAAAAGTGACATCTTTAACAAAGTTTCAGTGAAAAGTTTGAAGATATTTTTTTTATTCACATATGTTTAATATAATACATAATCAATTTTTTCTCCTAGTTAGGTGAAACACATACCATCAAAATACCATAAGCAATGTGTATTTGTTCTTAGAAAACTGATCAGATTTGCTGATATTTTTCACAATTTGGTGAAAATTTACAAAATATTGCTCTATAAGACTTTTACGGAAACTGTTCATCAGCTTTGGCTTGCATTATATATAATAATGTCCATAATAAAATTAGAAATCATTAAAAAACATGCCTGTCCTCCAATTATATCTGTGACAGAGGGCGGTAAAACTATAGGAAAGACACTCCAGTGAAACAGCATGGACTCTGCCACCTAGAAAATAAAATTAAAACAAAGTACAGTAGTACTTCAGCATCCTGAACACTGATATCTCCAATACCAAAGGAAATGCTGAAGTGACTTAGGAATTTAACTTATTTTTGTAGTTTTATCTGTAATTTTTAAATGGTTTTCTTGCTAAATCCTTCATCACTCTTATACTGCCTATTCTCTGATATCTCGGGTATGATTTACAAAGTATAAGAAATCCACCGCCTTCACGTGACAGACTTCAACCAATCGTAAGCCAGGATTTCACGGAAAAATCGACAGAGGTGGGGTAATTTTTAGTACACTGTATTTTACCCCTTGATATCTCTTATTCTCTGATATCTCTGAAGTGTTTCTAAGTCCAATCAATTTTGAGATAATGCATTTCAAACATTTTCTGGTCTAAAGGTGGTTACTGGTGACCAGTAGATACAGAAACTGTTAACATCATAATAAATCCTAGAGTAATTACCTTCTTAATGTCTTTCATGACCTCTCTCATGTTTTCTGGCACTTTGTTCAGATCTAGAGGAAAATTCAATGGCTGCATCTGGATAAAGAGAAAATGAACCATTATTCTGTGAAGAAACTACTGAAAGTTGCTTTACTTCCAAAGTGTAAAAATTTCTAAAAAAAAAAAAAACACTCGCATTGGTTTGCAATTCCACACTACAAGCAATTGGAAGTTTCGTATTTACAATGTTTTTTTTTAAACTAATAATAGCATTCTCAATGGGTTTGAATTAACTGAAAAATGATGAATTGCAAACATAGTGAAATTAAAACCAATGTAATTTTTTGCCAATCTACAAAATTATCATTTTTTATTTAGAAACAGAAATTTTATCAATTCTTCCCACATGGTTTTAAATATTAATAGTATTTTTTCCAATATATTAAACCTAAAGTGTAGCTAAATCATGCAATAAGTACCTTTGCAGCAGTTTCTGTGTCTGTTGACGCCATCTCTTCTGTTTGTGGTGATTATTCCTCGTATATGTCAGATGATCTAAAATCAAATACAATAATCAAATATTTATCTCAATTCAAAGGTTTTTGATGGTATTGATGGTATCCAGTAATAAATACAACTGGGCTTGTCCCTATTATTAAATGTATCATGTAAATGAGTTTGCCTTAGCTAACAGTTGTACCTTAAAACATAATAGAGACCAGTAATATTTAGTTTTGAAAGCTCAATAGACTGCCAAGTAAGATTGAGAAATTCAAATCGAAATCAGTATATTGGTAGGACAAAATTTTGAGGGTGAAACATAAAGTTTCCAAAATTTTTGACCACCACAATGCCAAGTGAAATGGGGAATATAAAGGGACTAAAGGCCATAGTTATCTTGAAGATTGAGTTCTTAAAGAGAATAAAAGAAACATTAAATAATTGCATCTACTCTACAATGCCTTATATTTAAAAAAATTGGACTGTTTACACTTTACTGGAAGGATAGTGATGTCACAAGCTAGACGGTCTCATGCTGTTTGAAGTTTGTAGAGACCGATCAATGTTACATTGTAAACTGTTTTAAGTTTTTAAAGGTATAACTTACGATCACCCCCAACTGTCAGACTGTAAAACATATTGATTATGTTTCTTATTCAGGTGTAATATTATATAAATATTGCACGTAGTTCAGTGTAACATTGAAAATTTTCACCCCAAGAAAACCTTTTTCAACCGAGGCACAGCCGAGGTTGACAATGGTTTTCGAGGGGTGAAAATTTTCAATGTTACACTCAACTACATGCAATATTTATTATATTATACTGAATGTTTCATACAAATACATATAACAGTGAACCGACTGCGCATAAATTCTGTGCAGTCGCTATTTTTTGGAATATCCAAGAAATGTTGACTGATGCTACGCTGGAGGGTGTGGCTTCATTATCCAGCGGATAATAGTATTTTTTAACAAATGTTTCTCGACCAATCAGATTCAACTAATTAACATGAAAGTATAATATTATACATCTATTGACTGAGTTCAAGGGCAACATGCGTTTTGTCAGACCCATGAATCAAACCGTCTGTCTGAGGCCATATGGCCAAAGAGAATTATGGTTCAAACGGTACCTGGTGAAAATGGCACCTAGTGAAAACGGCACTTGGTCAAAACGGCACTTAGTCAAAATGTGAGTATACATAAAGATATATTATATTTTTTTTTTCTGGGAGGGTCCATTTTTTCCAAGAAAACAAAAATCATGTATACATTAGTTTTTATGAAATCTTTGTGATATATATGATTAAATTCTGTATGAACCTATGCATATACATACTTTTCTCCACAGATTCATACATTTGAACACCAAATTTGAAATGATTTTTTCTTCATTATATTTCTTGAAATATCCATGTAGATCTTCATCTTCTAGTCTCTTTTTTTTAAATTAATGAAATAACAGCATTGTTTTTAAATGTAATGTTATTTTCAAAAACAAGAATATAAACAATAACAGCATCATTTTATCATCTAGAGGAATTATTTTTTGGAACAATATCATCATTGTATCATCTTAATATTTAATCAATATTATTAAATATAAATAAATTGATATTCTTCAGTCATAATACAAAAAACAAAATTATGTTTTTGTTCTTCTATGTACAGTTTCATATTGTAAAAAGAACTTAATAGTAAATGTTGTATGGCTATTCAGATTTTATGTACAGTTTAGAGAGGAATATCTAAGTTTTCCTAACTTGTGTACAATCCCTTTGACATACTGTCAAGAAATACACAATAGTAACTGTACATGATTGCAAATTGACGACCAGCAGATCATTGAAGGGGAGGTGTGAAACGGTCTTTTGTTTCTTATTCCTATAAGTGTATTCTAAGTGAACATACTCTAACGGGTGGCTTCTAATTTGTCAACTGTGACTGGCAACCCCCAAAACAGAGTAGTATACATTATATTTGCATTACTATAAATTTTTTAATTTCAAAGGATCATAATAATATAATTTGGATTTGATCTCTTTTGTAGAAAATAATAGACATATAATTTAAAGAAGTACATTTTAAAAATCTGTCCACTGTACAACGTATAATAATTTTCAAATGAATTAGTCTATTATTTTTTTTTCCTAAAATATTTTTAAACATTTTTATCAAAAATAATATACACATTTATTACTAAAATGTAAAATAAAGATCCATTTTCTGTATAAACAATATCAAATTCTCAATATAAAAAAAGTGCCGTTTTGACATTTCTAAAGTGCTGTTTTGACTACTCTCAAGTGCCGTTTTCACCAGGTGCCATTTTGACTTGTACCCAGCAGCAGACAGTTTGGGTCAAGGGTTGACAAAACACATTTTGCCTGAAAAATCAGTCAATAAATGTTTTGATATACCTTTCACTTTGTTTTATTTTTTGAAATACTTGAATTTTTACTGTCTTCCATAATGTAACGTCACTGTTGAACATTAACTATAAGGCTTAAAAAAAAAATAGGTTTGTTTCCTGTAACATTCCAAAAAAATAAAGGGTCGGTACCGATTTTTTTTTAAAATTCTTTTTTTTTTTTTTTTTGCTTATGAATGGTGAAACATCCCCGGACTGAAAATAACAGGTGTTATATTTACAGTGGACACCCAACATGGCATCCAAAATGGCTGCCAGCGGCAGAAAACGAACTTCAGAAAGTTGTAGGGGAAAACTGTTGTTACACTAATGATTACTCTTTATATCTAAGGTAAATGTAAACATGGTTGACATATTTTATGTCTCAAATTAAGCTACGAGCTATTTTTTTTTTATTTAATAAATAGAATCAGCTGATTAATCAAACGAAGTTTTGTCATTTGTCAGGACACAACTCATAAAAAAAAATCCACCCTATTAAAAGGGGATAATTTGAATGGGTCGGAATATTATATCGGGTTACAGGATATACAAACATATTTTTTTTTAGGCCTAATGAAAGCGAGATTAAGCGCCGCCCATACTGTGAAGTAAGTGGTCCAACATCTCACTCAGCGTTCAAACATCAATTATTTACGCCCGCTCAGCAAAACATTAATAGAAATGACAATGTTAGACTTTTTTTGTACAGATTTGTAAAGGGACAAATTTCTGCAAGAAATCAGTCAAATGGAGCTAAATTCTATTGCAAGAAAATTGGTATGCAGTAGTCTAAACTACAGTGCAAACTAAGTAGATGTGCAATAAAACAGTTGAGAACTTGATATTAAAGAAGGCTGCACTCTAGCTAGCCTAGCCCTTCTGCAAGTTGACACTACAAAAATGCAACCCGTTTCTGTCGGTCTGCGTTTCTGCAATACAAACAAAAATTGGTGCAACCTACAACTTTCTTGTTGAGCTCTATGGAATTGGAACGTCCATGTTGAATTTTAGTTGTATTGCTTCTCTGTAGACATCTTTCGTAGTCTCTCACTATCAGGGACGACTCAGAAGTGAAAGAAGATGCAAATCTCGCATGTGGTGAGATTTGAAAAACTTCAACGAGAATTTGCTAACTTCCGGTCTTTCCGAAAATAATCACGTTAGTAGACAGACGTGTATTTCACATATCTTCCTAAAATCATGATAATCATTGTAATTAAAGCTATTTTAAGCTATGGAAATTAAAGATATGATATTCCTAATTTTGATGATCCACTTATTTTTTCGGGGTATAAGTGTTCTGTGAATAAATTTCAATAAAAATGCATGGTAAATACAAGTGTACAAATGTTGCTTTACAGCAATGGCGGACGCAGCACCAGCCGGTGGTAGTGGAGACCGTGGCAGAGGGGGGTTCAGAGGTGGATTTGGCTCTGGCGGTAGAGGGAGAGGAAGGGGGCGTGGCCGTGGGAGAGGTCGCGGCAGAGGAAGGGGTGCCAAGGAAGGAGAGAAAGAATGGATGCCAGTGACCAAGCTTGGCAGACTTGTGAAAGACCAGAAAATCAAGTCACTGGAGGAAATTTATCTGTTCTCCTTACCTATTAAGGTATAAAGAGATGTCAGTTGTTTTTTAAGATTAAACTGGTTTATTTTGTGCAGTTTTTCATGACTTGCTTTTCTCCTTGGTCACAAAATAACTTGCTGTTGATTTTTCGTACAGGAGTTCGAAATCATTGATTTTTTCCTTGGACCATCCCTGAAGGATGAAGTTCTGAAAATTATGCCTGTCCAGAAGCAAACTCGTGCAGGTCAAAGAACAAGATTCAAGGTATAATAATATTCTTGATAGGATGGTTTCTAGACTAAACTGCAGCCTCCTTTAGATTTAAAATTGGTGGCATTGAATTGAAAATACGGACCATTTGACAATGTTAGGTATTCATTATCTTAAACTTTTCAGGCATTTGTTGCCATTGGAGACCACAATGGTCATGTAGGTCTGGGTGTAAAATGCTCTAAGGAAGTAGCCACAGCTATCCGAGGAGCCATCATACTGGCCAAACTGACTGTCATCCCCGTCCGAAGAGGATACTGGGGTAACAAGATCGGAAAACCCCACACCGTACCTTGCAAAGTAAGTCATTTGTTCAGTAACCTGTTGATATGCAGTAAGAATACATAAACAGATTTTTGACAGATCCTTGATAGAAAGAGATACCTTTTGTGATTTAAAGATTTATAACTTGTTTAATATTATATTGACTTGTGGTTATTCCAGGTGACAGGAAAGTGTGGTAGTGTAATGGTGAGGCTGATCCCTGCACCCAGAGGTACTGGTATTGTCAGTGCACCTGTACCAAAGAAATTGCTTCAGATGGCTGGTATCGATGATTGCTACACATGTGCAAGAGGATGTACAGCTACTCTGGGCAATTTTGGTAAGTTTAGAATTTAGATTGACTGATTTTATATTTACAGAAATAAAGATTAGACCTTTGTCTTTGGTTTCTAGTCAAATTACATATTTCTTGAAGATACCTGTACCTGTAGTCCTGCACATTTGACTAGAAAAAAAAATAAAAAATGTTATGAAGCAGTTTTCAATGAAACTTCTAACTTTGAACTGAGATTTAAGATGTCTCATATTATGCCATATGATTTTTTCAGCTAAGGCCACATATGCTGCCATCGCTAACACCTATTCCTACTTGACCCCTGACCTGTGGAAGGAGACAGCTTTCACCAAATCCCCGTACCAGGAGTACACCGATTATCTGGCCAAGAACCATACTCGCCAACCAGGTCAAAGACAGGAACAGAAAGTGTACTGAGCTTAATCGCTGAAATAAAAAGCTATATGACACTTTATTATCTGTTTCTGTTAATGTTGTGAGGGATTGCTTAAAATTTGGAATATCAAAAGTGATAAAAACCTGGCAAGGGTTTTTAATAATGAAAAGTTGATGAAGTTTGTATCTATAGGGTCTGGGAATTGACAAGAACTTTGTGTTTGATTTAGGATGTAAAGCTATAGTTTCTTCCAAGAGGTAAAGGTTAAAAAAAAGGTGAGGTTGCAAAAAAAAAAAAAAGATGCATTTGTGAAACACTGATGCCCCTGTATGGCAGGTTATGGTGAGGGTTGAATTCTCGAGAATGCATGTCATACTCTAAAGGTCAAGGTCAAAAGTGTTGGTACCCAAAGGAAGGTCTTGTTACAAGGAATACATTTGTGAAATATGAAAGCCCTATTTCTAACTGTTCAAAAGTTATGTCAGACCAAGGTACAAGTTTTTAGAAAGTGCGTCAAGCGGGCTAAGGTGAAAATACCAGGGTTGTCCCAAAAAGTCATAGACAGGGAACGTAGTTTATTTTTCTCTTTGCTAAGTCAAATTTCTTTTCTTTTCATGGCAAAGAGTAACATTTTATAATCATGTATTTCAAGTTTCATGACAATACCACATTTAATAAGAAAACTATGAAAAAATAAAGAAGCCATGTAAGTGTACATCGGCGCACGGAAGCAAGCGTAATTTACGTCTCTTATGACGTCATGATCTTTTTTTCTGCTTCATACGAGGCCAGTAACATCCAAATGAATATTTTTTTTATAGTAAAAAAAAACCCCACTTTTGACTAAGGGAATAATTTAAATTCACTTTATGTCCGTTTTCTTAAGCAGATTCAAATTTAAGTCAAAATTAAATTAGTTGAAAAATCACCTTATATTTTATGCAGCAGAGAATACACCTTGTTTTGCGATGTTCATGGCCCAGACCGTTCCCAATGTCTGCATTAAACAATCAGTACTCTACTTTACATGCAATAAATATTTTTTTTATTTAGAGGAAAAACTATCTTTGAATCTCATACTATTAAAAAAAACTTTTCTATTAAAATAAAGTGTGTAATGTCCTTTCTGTACTCTTTTTCCCCGTCTCTGATGAATATAAAACATACCAAAAACAATTTATTACATTTCCGTGCGCCGGGTACGCGTTCGACGACGTCAATTTTCATCAATCTCAATTCGAACAACACTTTGAAAACCATACCACCAGTCGTTTGTTTCTAATGCTATTTATATGAAAATTTGACATATTATAAAGACTTTGATTCTGGTTTCAGTTATTTAAGTTTTAGTTCAATTTGTTACATAGTACCAAACAAATAAAAACAAAGGATGAGGTGACTTGCGGCCCCTCGTATACTGACAAAAAATTAAATGTCTAAATTTTACTCAAATTTTTGTAGGTAACTAATCACTGACATGTGTACCTTTATAGAATACTATTTTTAACAAAATTAGAAACGTGATTTGAAAGATATGGATATTTTATTATTGTAGGGGTATCATGTTTACATTCAATTCCCATTGCATTTTAACCCCGCCCCACTCTTTGAAGCCCTTAAAATATACGAGCGCAGGTAGGTACAATTTTCTCCTTTGGCTGGTCACTGTATTTTATTCAAATCTACCTATATGTGAAAGGAGAAAATTGTACCTAACTGCGCTCACATGCTATTTAAAAAAAAAATGTAAAATCTAATTGGCCTTTCCCATTATAAACAGATCGACGGAACTAGATTTTCTGACGTAAGAATGAATTCATATGCTAATCGAGGCATAGGCGATACTTTCTAACTGACCAATCAGCTAAATGAAACTCGTTACAAGTGAGTACCACAAAAATACTATGGAAACATGCTTGGAATTTTACTGCTTTCCGATATTTTTTTATGCATTTGAGTCACAGATTAGACACGATCTACATATGTGCCATTTCCGAGACCACAGTAAAATTTATATACAGTTACAAACAATTGATAAATATACACGATATACAGTAGTTTAAAGTTTTGTAGCGTGTTTGGTGAGCAATTCGCTAGGTCTACAACACGTATTCCCCAGTATCGGTGAATACATGTTTCGTGTGCATTTCTTGTCCTGAATGCTGAAAATCCATGCGTATATTTCAGTATAAACAGCATTGACTGACCATTATAAAATTTTGAAATGTAGAAAAGGACAACAGGTAAATTGACCAAATCCACGTGTCTGCGATAAAATGTAAACGTAGTACACCAGCATGTTTTGTTGTTCTGTCAGCGGATTGGACAATGACTAAGTGCGAAATAATAGCAATAGCCATATAAGGTCTTCTCGGGCACGCATATCCCTCTATTGTACTAAGACCCGCCCATTCTTTTGCCATAAAAGAAAACATTCGCACAAACCTGGCCGAATTTAGCTGTGGGTCTAAAAAAATCAAAGATAATGCAGTATTCCTTATTATTAAAATGTGTCTGAACTATTGAAACTATTCAAAAGGCGTCGTATTTATTCACTCATGTTTGAAAACTACCAACATCGTTGTAGATTACATATAATTCGTCGTAGAAAAAGGGGCCCCAGATAGCAGTTATGTCACATCATCCTTTTATAGTTATATGCGTAAATCATTCTGAATTTTGCGGACAGACCATATCAGCCTTCATATAAATCGTCCCAAAATAATGAATATGAAAGATATATATATCTTTAAGAATTCACAATTTTAAAGAACATTGAATGTATTTGTATATGCAAAATTTGGTTAGCATTGGTTACGTTTTAAAAAAAGTTATTAACATTGTCTACAACTTTTTGGGACAACCCCCGTAGTTATGTTGGGCTCTTCTTCCAGAAATGTGAATTTCAAGGCCCCTGGGTCAGGGATACCAAACGGGGGTGGGGGTGGGAGGGGGGTGGCTCTACTTATATACTGAAAATAAGTCGTTTGAAATCTGCTCCATGGTATTAATCAAGCATTTTTAATAAGCAAGTGTGCCTTTTCAAAGATTGTGCAATGTGTAGACCTAGGGTCAGGAGTTCATGTGTGGTAGGAGCACTCCTGATTATTGCTGAATATTACTGATTATGGGTATTAAGTAAACAAACTAAACAATTGCTAGTTTATAGTTATGATTAGCAATGGTGCCTCTTTCAAAATTGTGAATGCCATGGCATAGCATTTAGCTGAAAACATTCAAACCAAATTCAATCATTTGAAAGTCGTTGCATGATGCTCAGGTGACCTATAAGGCCCATGGGCCTCTTGTTTGTAGAAGTGGGCCAAACTCAAATTTGGTGGTACCCATGAAAAGGTCTTTTCACAAGAAATACACGTGTGAAATATGAAAGCCATAGCCCCACCCAATCAATAGTTATGGGCTAGGTTAAAGCTGACAGCAGACTGGACCTTTGAGTACCGGTAGTTTTATTCATAGAAAACAAACAAAAGATTTTATGAGTACTATGCTCAAAAAGGGAGTCCCGAAATAATTATCAGATCCAAAAGTAAAAAAGGTCACAATGACACTATGTAATAAAAAAAATGTGAAAGTATCATTGAATTTTATTAAGTGGTATAGGAGAGCTAGTACAATTTCTGTCATCTTTGGATTTTCAGTAAGGTGTGGCAATTTTGGCGCTACGAAATTAACCTCTCTCAAATGGCGAATAGATTCTTATTGATTAAGAAACATCAGGTACTTTAGATTGTTGACAACCATGAGACGACTTGAGCCCCACCTCTTTGCCGTACGAGACATACTTATTGGATATTTGCTAAACTCGTTGACATTCGCCCGAATTTCTATCTGATCTTGTACCGGGTATTTATATAATTCAACAGTGAATGAAAGCTATATGTAAATTCAGACTCTAATTATGTAACATCGAGAGTACTCCACCTTACTGAAAGTCCTAGGATAACGGGGATAACTCAGCTTTAAAATCAAAACTTTCTCTAAAAAATAAAACTACAACAAAAGATTATGCCCCCCCCCCCGGCGCATAGCCGCAGCATTTCATTGATTAAAATATATATGTTATCCTCATAATAGATATGTTGAGAAATACTCCCTTTCATGGCTTTTGATGTACACTTACTAAAGTTAGTAACATCAGATGTTGGAGCTAAAATTTGAAGTAATCCTCCTTTGATATCAAAAGTGAAACCTTGCATGTTACTAGTGGGGATCGGGGTAATGAAGGTTTACGGAGGAAAGCATATGTATTCTCGAAATATATCTAGCAAGCAGAGAGGGCAGATTTTCCTATAAATATAAGACGTAAAAATATCCATAACTCTCTCTCTCTCCAAAACTAAAGGGGTCCCAACCCTTGGGCTCCCTCTCTGGATCTGCCAATGATTCCATGCATGCGACGGATATCGATGGAGTGGTTTCGGGTTGCTAAAAATAATTCTGCGAAGGTTCAGTAAAATTATTCACATTACATTTTAGATCCGATTTCAAATATTAGATTTATTGATTGTATATTGTTTAACCTCCCTCTCGAGAATTTTTCACTGAAATAGAGACGCTGGCAATTGTGCAAATTTTGTTCTATACTCAGCACTTAGGGCCATTGAGCAGGGAGGGATCTTTTCGTGCCAGCACCTACTGAGACACGGGACCTCGGTTTGTACGGTCTCATGCGAGGAACCCGTCTCCACATCCCACAGTGGGATTCGAACCCGCGACGTAAGGATTTACTCCTCACTTCACGACTGTAGAGCAGACGCTCTAACCAATCAAAACTAAAGGGGTCCCAACCCTTGGGCTCCCTCTCTGGATCTGCCAATGATTCCATGCATGCGACGGATATCGATGGAGTGGTTTCGGGTTGCTAAAAATAATTCTGCGAAGGTTCAGTAAAATTATTCACATTACATTTTAGATCCGATTTCAAATATTAGATTTATTGATTGTATATTGTTTAACCTCCCTCTCGAGAATTTTTCACTGAAATAGAGACGCTGGCAATTGTGCAAATTTTGTTCTATACTCAGCACTTAGGGCCATTGAGCAGGGAGGGATCTTTTCGTGCCAGCACCTACTGAGACACGGGACCTCCGTTTGTACGGTCTCATGCGAGGAACCCGTCTCCACATCCCACAGTGGGATTCGAACCCGCGACGTAAGGATTTACTCCTCACTTCACGACTGTAGAGCAGACGCTCTAACCACTGAGCCACGCGGGCGACCTAAAATATTAGAAAGAAACATACTTGTTCCACAAACAAACTGATGAACAACACTAGTAAGATACATAATTATGTCACGCGTATTGGATTTTGATTTCGATTAGCATTGTTACCATGGTTTTTAAAAAAGAATGATTAGATTAGATCATTTTTCAAAGCGTTAGTTCCATACAGTGTTGGTTTGATTTCAATAACATTAATGTTCATGATTTTTGAATATTGGTTCAGATATTGCTGCAAAGATTGTGCCGCTAAAAAGTACATGTATGCATCTCTATATCTGCTTACAAGGTCGTTAAAATCGGTCCGTTTGCAAACATTGGGTACTAGGTTTGGTCCAACGATCAAGGTTTGGTACTAATTTGCGTTTATTAAGTTTCATACTTGCAATTCTCTTGTACCATTTCCCCCCCAAGCTTTGCTTAAAAAATTATGAAATTCATTTAATGATGAAAACCACATCATGTACATTTACACACGACACTTTTTAAAACAAAACGGAGGATGATTTCAATATAAAGAATGAAAACAACAGAAAGGGTTTTTTGTTCGACAATGCTTGAAATGGTGCTTTTTGAGCAAGCTAATTGCTGAATGTTTACAGTCGTTTTTAATTCACCCATTCACATATCGAAAATGAAAAGATAATTCTTAAACCATATTTGCATTTTATGCATTGCATCAAATCATGATGAAATTACAGTTGCAATTCTCTATAGTCTAAAAACATTTTCTGTGCACGATGCCAGGCCCGCTTTCGTCATACTCTTGTTTGCTGATCCACATCTGTTGAAAAGTGGATAAAGAAGCTAAAATCGACCCGCCTATCCAAACCGAGTATTTCCGCTCTGGTGGCGCCACGACTTTGACCTTGATGTTTGGTGGAGCAAGGCTGGCGATCTCTTGACTCATTCGATCCCCAATTCCAGGGAACATTGTTGTTCCTCCTGAGAGAACGATGTTAGAATAGAGGTCTTTCCTAATATCGACATCGCATTTCATAATTGAGTCGTAAGTGGCCTCATGGATCCCTGTCATTTCCATGCCAACAAAGGATGGTTGGAACAGTGCTTCTGGACAACGGAATCGCTCGTTGCCAATGGTGATGACCTGACCATCTGGGAGTTCATAGTTTTTCTCAAGGACGGAGCTGGTAGCCGCTTTAGCCATATCGTCATCAAAATCCAAAGCCACGTAACATAGTCTCTCTTTGACATCCCGGACAATTTCCCTTTCAGCGGTTGTAGTAAATGAGTAACCTCTCTCTGTCATAATCTTCATCATATAGTCGGTCAAATCCCGCCCTGCTAGGTCAAGCCTGGTTATGGCATGGGGAAGGGCGTAACCCTCGTAGATTGGAACCGTATGGGTGACTCCATCACCCGAATCCAGAACGATTCCAGTCGTCCTACCGGAAGCATACAACGATAGGACTGCCTGAATTGCCACATAAAAGGCCGGCGTGTTGAAAGTTTCGAACATGATTTGTAGCATCTTTTCTCGGTTTGCCTTTGGATTCATTGGAGCTTCGGTCAGTAAGACGGGATGCTCCTCTGGCGCCACCCTTAACTCATTATAGAAAGTGTGATGCCACACCTTTTCCATGTCGTCCCAGTTTGTGACGATGCCGTGCTCAATGGGGTATTTTAGGGTCAAGATTCCTCTTTTGGATTGCGCCTCTTCTCCCACATAGCTGTCTTTCTGTCCCATTCCGATCATCACACCCTGCAAACAATTTATAAAGTCATTAGTAGTCACAAATTGAAAGGCGTTTTTGGCACTTATTTTAAAATAATCTATTTAGCTAAAGAAGAAAGTACGGGTAGTTGAAAATAATCTCAGTTGTCAAAAAATATATCCTCTTCAGGTAGCGATTTTAGCAGGGATTTTTTTCCTAATCTAATTGTATTGCACAGCCATTATAGTCATGAAAAGAGGATTGGAAATATTTTTTTTTTAAAATACACCTAGATTAGAAATTACCTGATGCCGGGGTCTCCCAATTATAGAAGGAAACACGGACCGTGGGGCATCATCTCCCCCAAATCCTGCCTTGCACATCCCCGAACCATTGTCAATCACCAGAGCAGCTATTTCGTCGGAGTCGGCCATCTTTTAGTTTACCACACCCTTCTGGTCAACGCCGCAGTAGTAGTGAGAATGAAAAGCACACGCCTTATTGAAACATCTATCCTCGTCATTCCAGATTGATTTTTTGCATCTCACCATGCGAGTGCTAGATATACCGGTATATGATAGATTATGACTTGACCATATATAGCATCTTTGATATAAAATCATCTCTCTCTCTCTCTCTCTCTCTCTCTCTCTCTCTCTGATTTTTCCGAGTTTGCAATATTTGAAAAGCATTATGATGCACGAATTTCCACTATCCATAGTATAATGGATATGCATGCATTTAAAACACAATAAAAATCATAGAAAAAAATTTAGTTTAAAAACTGATATAGTCATGAATGAAATGTCTTTTGTCGATAATATTTGTAAAAAGTTGGTAACTAAAGGGAAGTAGCATCGTTCGAGGGGGGGATAGTTTAAATCACTGATATATATTTCTTGAAAGTAAATTAAATTTTATTACTAATAAAAATACTGACCAAATTACCCTTTGACTATGCTGCATAAACAAGAGGGGCTACATTTTGAGTGAATCTTTCAACAGGTCCCCTCCCCCGATTCTTCGTGCTTAGATTTATAGATCTAAATACATCTATAGTATATATTGGTGATTTAGGTCAATGCGATTGTTTTACCTATCCGAGGAGTATGTAATGAACTAGGTCTAGTATTCCCCGAAAAAAAAAGTTCATGTACATGAGATTCTAGGTGAACATTTTATACGGATTTATTTTTTTTTCTACATTAGACTAAAAATTTATCTCACTAATTTCCATTCACATTCGTCCTGTCCACAAGCACCTGTGATTTGGAGATTTCTGCTGCTTGTCAAAGATAGAGTTATCTCCCGTTCCCCGCTTTAAAGTTGAAGCGCGGTATATTTAAACGAAGGAGGGTCAGATTCATGAGTGAAAAAAAAAGAAAAAAGAACAATAAACATGAAAATTGTTATCATAAGAACGTTTTTATAAGGACATTCCATTTGGTTTTTCCAGAGTTTTAAATATCAAAGTAGAAAATAACATGGCCATATATGGAAGCGCACATGACTTCCATATAAGGACATGTTGGGATGAAAACTACCCGGATGAAAACGTGGTCTCGTCCATTTTCTTCAGCATCAGGCAAGGAGACAGAGTGGCCTTCAAATCTTCTTAACTTTTTACTTTGAAAATGAGTGACGAAGTTGCTGCCATCGTTATTGACAATGGATCAGGAATGTGCAAAGCTGGATTTGCCGGCGATGATGCCCCAAGAGCCGTGTTTCCGTCAATTGTGGGAAGACCCAGGCATCAGGTAATTTACATGCTGAAAAATAAATCTACATCATGTCACATGTAGTACATGGCCATGGCAATCAGCATAGTTCTAAAATGCCATTGCAGTTAATTTCTTAGTTACTAGTTCAACCATTCTATTTGACGTTTATTTATAAAGAAATTGCCAAAACCATGCTTCATTTAGATTTAACCCGAAACGCATTTCAAATAAAAAAAATCATAAAAATCATATTTAAAAAAAGGAAACGATATGCCTTATATTGCCTAACGGCTAACGTTTAAATCATTTAATTTCGTGCAAATTAAATACGTGTATATAAGATAAACCAATGTGAAATTAAGCTGTAACTTTGGTGTCCATGGATGGAATTTTTTTTCCCTTTACATGGTCGAATCGCCGTGTGAAGATTCTAAATTGTTCAAGTCATGACCCACGGGGTTGGGGGGTTATCAAAGTTTTACATAGATATACATAGGAAAAAGCTTTGAAAATCTGATTTAAACATATTTGATTGAACACAATCAATGGGACTGGACACCAGTTATAATTGAAAATCTTCTCAAGAACCACTGGACCAGAAAAGCTGAAACTTATGTAAAACTTATGTGGAAGCATCCTGGGGTATGTAAATTTTAAATTGTTCAAATCATGACCCCCGGGAGTTGGGCGGGGCCAAAATAGGGAATCAGAGTTTTACATAGAAATATAGAGGGAAAAGTTGAAAAATTTTCTTCTCAAAATCCACTGGGCCAGAAAAGCTGAAACTTGTGTGGAAGCATCCTGGGATAACGTAGATTTTAAATTGTCCAAATTATGACCCGCTGGGTAGGGTGGGGTCACAATAGGTATTACAAGGGGAAATCTGGTAAAGAACACTTAGAACAGCATGATCAAAGCTTCTCAGGTGGGCGATGTGGCCCATGGATTCTTGTTTTAAAATACAGACCGTAAGTGCCGGACTCTGTTCTATATTTGCATCCTATTCCTTGGTGGCATCTCCATTTGAGTGAAGAATTCTCCAAAGGGACGAAAAACAAAAATTTCCCTAGATATTGTGCTTTAATAATGGTGATTATTATGCATACAATTCTTGTTTTAGGGAGTAATGGTTGGTATGGGTCAAAAGGACAGCTATGTAGGAGATGAAGCACAAAGCAAAAGAGGCATCCTAACTCTAAGGTACCCGATTGAACATGGCATCGTCACAAACTGGGACGACATGGAGAAAATCTGGCACCACACCTTCTACAATGAGCTGCGAGTGGCGCCGGAGGAGCATCCAGCTTTACTTACAGAAGCACCGCTAAACCCAAAGGCCAATCGCGAGAAAATGACCCAAATCATGTTTGAGACCTTCAACTCCCCCGCCATGTATGTGGGCATCCAGGCTGTCCTGTCTCTGTACGCTTCTGGTAGGACCACGGGTATTGTGATGGATTCCGGCGACGGCGTGTCCCATACTGTACCCATCTACGAAGGATACGCTTTGCCCCACGCCATCTTACGTTTAGATTTGGCAGGAAGAGACCTGACGGGGTACCTCGTAAAGATTCTGACAGAGCGCGGATATTCCTTCACGACAACAGCTGAGCGGGAAATCGTTCGCGACATCAAGGAGAAACTTTGCTACGTCGCCCTGGACTTCGAACAAGAAATGGTTACAGCTGCCTCAACTTCGACCTTGGAGAAAAGCTACGAGTTGCCTGACGGACAAGTCATCACCATTGGCAACGAGAGATTCCGATGCCCCGAATCTTTCTTCCAGCCTGCATTTCTGGGAATGGAAGCCTCTGGTATCCACGAGACAGCCTACAACTCCATCATGAAGTGTGACGTCGACATCAGACGAGACCTGTACGCTAACACCGTTCTCTCTGGAGGGTCCACCATGTTCCCAGGAATGGCCGACCGCATGCAGAAGGAGATGACGGCGCTAGCTCCCAGCACCATGAAGATCAAAATCATCGCGCCACCAGAGAGGAAGTACTCCGTATGGATTGGTGGATCTATTCTTTCTTCCCTCTCCACATTCCAGCAGATGTGGATCAGCAAGCAAGAGTATGACGAAAGCGGCCCAAGTGTAGTCCACAGAAAATGTTTCTAAAGCTGTGTACATTAAAATTTTCTTGTATCAAGTATGCAGCTTGCTTCATTATGATTTTAGCCAAAACCAACTTTGCATTGTATATGTTTAATTATGACATAGCAATAGCATGTTTGTAAACTAATATTTGTACTTGTATATATTATGTATCCAGAAGACAATAAAGATTTCACATCAGTAAAACTACATTTGTACTCGTAAACTTTTACATGAGAGAATCTTTTGCTGTGAACTGGACATTTATGTGGCGTATAGTGGCGGATCCAGTAATCCTGAAAGGGGGCACAACCACACCCCAAAAATTATGTATATTTTAGACACAAAAGGCCCCGAAAAGGGGTGACCCCAATAAATCCGCACTCAGTATATCTCAAAATACTCAAAATGAGACACTTCAGAGTCTACCAGATCTATTTAATTAATATATAGATGTTTACTACTGACTATAGACGGCAATGGCCAACTTATATTTACATCCACTGAATATTTTCTTTATTTCTTAAGAAAACCAATTGCGTTAATCACTGCATGAACTACATTAGGCATGTCGCCTGTACAGATTTCTTGATCAGTGGCTGTTCCATCAATGAAACGTATAAAGACGTTTGCATCATTAATGCAATGATCAATCTTTTTCATCCTACCTTAAATGTTTAAATCATTTAAACAGATATAAATATAAACAATAAAATGTCTTCCTTTGTTTGTTATTACTGGAATTAACGGCCGCAGCTATTGCAGAAAAAAATTTACATAACCCGCTTACGCTGTTTATGTATTTTTTTTTTCTGCGACAGCTGCTTCCGTTAATTCGAGCAATAACAAGCAAAGAAAGCATTTTATTGTTAAATATAACAACTTACAACTAAACTGATGGATGACCTAAGCTCTTCAATTATCAAATCCCTTATTTATATGCAATATTCCAACATATGTCACCAGCATATATGGTGTTTCGTCTCCCAACTGATTCATTGAATACACAAGCACATCCTGGGTGTACGATCGAAGTTTAAAACCAAGGAAAGCTACTGTAAATAAGTTGACGTTGCAGGATCAACAACCAAGTTTTAAGAGAAGTACTGTGATATAAAAAAAAAATAACCACTTTAAGATGTCTCTGGTTTAATTTGGTTTAAATAATTTAATTTTTAATTATATCTATTTTGTTTAATTGAGGAATAACTGTCTTATTTTTTGATTTCATGACGTGATCAATCGATTGGCTTGCGTGATAATTTGCATAAACCGTCGGTAAAATTACTCACAAGCCAATCGGTTGATCATCGTCATGAAATCGAAAAATCTGACAGTTATTTCTTATATGTTCGAGGGTTGTTAGAAAAGTTCACGGACACATTGATTTACGGAAAATCCATTGTGATATTCCCCGATCATGACAAGGAGCACACGGCGGGTGTGACAGGTCAGCAGGGGATGCTCACTCCTCCATGGCACCTGATCCCACATCTGATGTTTCGGAGGTCCGTGTTTGCTCTTCTCCTATTTTGCATTGTTTTGTGGACTTTGATATTGAATACTGTTCGTTATGTTCATATCCTTGAAGTTCTTCCTGTGAAGTATGAGCTATGTACACGTCTAATTAAATTCCTATCTTTTGTTTAGTTGTATATAAAAAAAAAATCAGGTCCATTTATTAAAATTTTGAAAATTTACAAAAATTATTTATATGCGGTCCTAGGATTCACGGAGCAATCACTTGACGTTAAACACGTTAAGCTTTTTCATACTTCTAAATATCTTTAGATTTTT